GCGCCTGTAGTTCCAGCTACTCGGAAGGCTGAGGCGGAAGGATCGCCGAGCCCAGCAGGTGAAGGCTGTGGTGGCCGGGAGCAGCCACTGCACTCCAGTCTGGGTGACAGTGAGACTCCAACTCAAAAAATAATAATAATAATAATAAAGTATAAAAATGTGAATGTGATTTACCTCCTTTAATAAGTGGAAGTTTATTCTAGGTAATTCATTACTTTCCCATAAGCTTTCTCAAGTGGGATGGAAGGGGGTGGAAACTGGTACACAAGCCTCATCTTGTCAGCCCGTGGTTGAGCAGCAGCTACTGAACCATTAGTCATGAAGGTGTCACTAATATTGCAGCATTTTCTTTCCCTCCCAAAATCTTCTTAGGAATCTTCAAAATCTGGGAATAGTCATGGGGGCTTGCCACACAAGTAAATATCACTCATTATTTGTGCTATTGCAGGGAAAAAAGAGTTTGCGGTTTCTGCTAGTACTTACTGCTCAAATCTCTGCTTATATAGGAAAAGAGAATTAACATCATATTTGGGTTTCATCTGAAAGTTACGACAGGTGTATAGGAAGTATTGATTCTATAAACGGTTTAGCCCTGTCTGCTGTGACTAAGAAAAGTATGTATAGGTTATATCTAATTTAAAATATTTTTAAATAACTGGTAGGAAAATATTTGTTTTGTTTGTATAAAAACTGAACTTTTCCCTTTCCGAATTCAGTCAATTACCCTGAAGTCTGGTCTTTTGATTTCCCTGTTTATTCCTGACACCTCATAATGGGGACACAGCTAATTACTTACATATTTCTCTGCTGCTAAGGATAGCCAGCTTATGACCACTTAGGATTCAAGCACATGTTGATGCCTTAAAACCAGTAAGCTTTTGATAAAGTATCAGAATAGGATGGTTAAATATGTTGTAATCAACAGTAAGAGGAGGAAATTAGTCCATAGAATTATGCCAAAATTTTCGTTTCCTTTTGCATTAAAAAATATTTTTTAATACAGCAATTTCCCAGAAAAGAGAATCATAACACCACTCGGACATCACTTTTAAATGTTCTTAATGTATTCCCTACTCTTGGCCCATTTAATTATTGGAAAAAAAATCAGATAGGACTGATTTATTGTCTGGAGTTTTGCACTGCAACCTTGCTCACTCTGGCTAAATGAATGTGCTCTTTAAAGGAAGCAGAGTGTTCTCTGAGTTTAGTTTCAGGAACACTTCTGGGTAGAACTCTTTTAACCTCCCATCAGGGGAGGAAACTCAAGTGAAGACTGAGGCAAAGACTCGCTACTAGAAATACAAACCAGCAGAACAAACTCCAGACACGTTTTTCAAATTTAAGAGTTTTCTGAGAAGTTGGTTTCCATGTGGTATAAGCCCCAGTAAACAACAAACCCATCATGGTGTCCTGCACCCTTATGGTTCATTATGCCGATGATAAGGAGTATAGAATTTCTACTTTGAGTTTCCATGCCAAAATCACTGAGCCATCTCTCTCCCACTGTAGGATGTCGCATGTACTTCAGTTTGAGGATAAGAGCAGGAAGGTGAAAGATGCAAGCATGCAAGACTCAGACACATTTGAAATCTATGATCCTCGGAATCCCGTGAATAAAAGAAGGAGGGAAGAGAGCAAAAAGCTGATGAGAGAGAAAAAAGAAAGAAGATAAAATGAGAGGAATGATAACCAGTACTTGCTGGATGTGTGTCTGCAGTGGCCTTGTTAACAGCCATTGTTCTCACAGCATCACTGAGGGATGTGAAAAGAAGTGTTTTTGAGCTTGTTGTCTGGTTTTAAAAAGCAATTATCTTGTTTTGCACATTGTGGAATGATATAAGCAGATGCTTTTGGTTACTAGTACATGCTTTTTCTTTTCCTATTGATCTTTTATATTGCTAATTTTGAAATAAAGTCACTTTTCTTCCATTTTATGTGTTAATTTGTGGACTGTGTAGGACTGTTTATGTCCCTTTACCCTAAAATATGTAAAGACTTTCATTTCAAGATTTTTTTTTATAAGAAGTTATTGCAGGAAGAATATTTGAGAGAAACCTCCCAGGCACTAACTATGGAATATAATTCAAAATTTTAAATTAAAAATTTTAAATGTGATATAAATATTGATGGTTTTGATCTGCATGTAAATATTTAAAAATAAGCAAACCAGTATAACCCAACAGCCTCATGCCTGAAGTCTTTAGGAAGCCCCACGTGAATGTTCACACCTCCATCTAGGGCAGAGCCTGGGTTTTATGGACATAGTCAATACACTCTAGCTCAACAGCTGAGCTCACTGCATACCCCTGCCTGATGCCTGGCCACCTGCCCATCCTCTGCCTTTTTCAGCACAGCACCAGCACATGCAGAGGTCCCATTCTGGTCGTAAAAACTCCTTGGGAATTTAGTTTTTGATGACAGTCATTCATACTGATTATTTACTACATATTAACGTATTATCTATAGTTGGTCAGTTTATTCTAGAATCTGGATGTTAACATTGCACCATGGGCTAATTTCAGTCACCTAATAAAATCTCACCAGCCACATCTTTTCTGACAGTGTCTCATCCGCTCTCTCTTTCAAAACGTATTCTTAAAAAGCAAAGTAATCTGAAGGGCGTTCTCTAGAGCATAGAGGTCTGATTCTCAAAATGTAATCCCAGGTGCCACACTACAGCAGCGACATCACCTGAGAACATGTTAGAAATGTAAATTATCGTACCGCCCACTACGACTACCCTTCTTCCAGACTGCTGAATCTGAAACTTTGAACCCTAAGGATTAAACACACTGATGAGCCTCACTGCTGGTGGTTCAGTCTCTTTGAAAATCAGCAGTATCTAGTGGAGTTAAATATGCATATATCTAACGATCCGAAAATTATAATCCTAGGTTGTATCCTAAAGAAATTATCTCGCATTGCTCAAGGAGAGGAGTACTAAGATATACATTAAAGCACCAACCAAAGAATGGATAAATAAGTTGTTGTGTATTCATACTTTATAGAGGTGAACATCAATAAACTAAAGCTATAGTCATTAGCATATCTTTAAAATAATGTGGAGGGAGCAGCAAACTACCAATATAAAAATTTAAGACCTGCAATATATTGTCATAAACTTTTTGTGGATGTACACCAAGGCAGCAAAACTTCAAAAACACTATGAAAATAGTGACCACCTCTGAAGAAGAGAAAGGAATACACAGGGGCTTCAATTGTTTGTAATGTTCACTTTCTTAAGCAAGACGGTGAGTATTCAATTCTCATTCTCTCTATATCTTGGAATGTTTGAGATATTTCATAATTTTTCTTTATGATTATATTTAGAACCTGAAGTGAGAAGACAGAAGGACTAACGACAACCCTTTCTATTTTGCTTCAGGTAGAAGGGGAAAGCTTCAAAGAGGAAGACAGGGATATAACAGAATGGGAAAATGTCAACCCATTCAAATGCAGGGTGATCAGACTCAAAGCCACCAAAAGAATCAGCCAACTTGTGGAAGTATAGCCTTCTTCCCCTCACCACAAAGGCTATAATAGTGGTTTTATTTTAGGTAGTCACAGAACAGAATTTTGTTTTCCAAATTCACAAAGCCTCCGTTGGTTATTCTGAAGGTAGTACCGCTAAGTCTGTTTGTGTTGAAGTACCATGTAGGTTTCTCTCTACCATTCCTCCTGGAACCTGCTCACCCTCACCGGTGCAGTGTTGTTCCAAGAACAGAAGGAACCACAGACTTCCCAGGCGCAAGCTAAAGAATAACATTTGTTAGTTTAAAAAGGTAACTGAAACCAAATTAAAACCTCAGTTTGGTTGAATGCTTATCCTGCTTTCATCGCAAGGAGCAGAAAGATCTGAAATTCCACAGAAATTAGACTCTTATCAGAAGAATTTCACCATGATAATAAAATTCGGCATGACCTTAACTGAATAATAGCAACAATATTTTTTGAACTTAAGAACATAGTTAAATTATCTGTTAAATATTGTATTAAATGTGCTCAGGTTAAAGTCTTTGGATATATCACTTGAATGTGTTTGGGCCAAATAAGTTGGGGGGAAAAAAATCAAAAAAAATGAAGACATAGCAGGTTGCAGTAGCTTATACTTATAATTCCGGCACCTTGGGAAGCCAAGGCAAAAAGATTGCTTGAGCCCAGGAGTTTGGGAATAGCCTGAGCAACATAGCAAGACCTCATCTCTACAAAAAATAAAATAAAAAATTTACTGGGAGTGGTGGTGCATGTCTGTAGTTCCAACTACTCAGGAGGCTGAGGCAGGAGGATCACCTGAGCAGAGAAGATTGAGATTGCAGTGACCCATGATTGTGCCACTGTCCTCCAGCCTGAGGAACAGGGTGAGACCTCCAACTCAAAAGAAAAAAATGTTAGAAAATTAGCCTCTAAATTTTATTCTAATTATACTTGGGTATATTCTTCTTGTATGTGTCTTACCCTGGGGATGTTGTCCTGAGACAGGGAAGTCTATTAGCATTCTTGTTCATATATGACAATGCTAAACATTCCAGAGAGCAAAGAGAAAAGCAACTCCTGACAATCTTTTTCTTATTTTATGACGAGTCATTTTTCCACTTTGGTTGAAGCTGTTGTCAAGGTAAAAGTGAATACTAACCCCAGACCTCTTCTTTCTCAGTAGTAATTGGAGTAAATGCAGATCTCTAGAATGTTTAATGGTGCAATATCAAAATGCACATCATAAGCCGGGCTCGGTGGCTCAGCCTATAATCCCGCGCTTTGGGAGGCTGAGGTGAGTGGATTGCCTGAGCCTGCGGGTTCGAGACCCGCCTGGGCAATTTGGCCAGACCTCATCTCTACAATAAATCAAAAAATAGCCGGACGTGGTAGCGCGCACCTGTGGTTCCAGCTACTTGGAAGGCTGAGGCGGAAGGATCGCCAGAGCCCAGCAGGTCGAGGCTGCAGTGACCAGGAGCAGTCACTGCACTCCAGTCTAGGTGACAGAGTGAGACTCCAACTCAAAAAAAAAATGCACATCATAGCATGCCCTAGGTCTCTGTGTCCCCTGAGGCCACACAGTCAGTAATGCATCTGCTGCATCTAAAAATGGGATACCATAGAACAAGGTCATTAAAAAGTGTGAGGAGATGAGTGGTTTGCTGCTGTTGTTTTTAGAACAAGTTCAATCAACTATGGTGTCCTTATCGAACTGTCATTACCAAGTTTCTTGATAAGATCTGACGTGTGAGGTACATAAACCTGTTCTGCTGTATCAGTGTGGCCTGCATGGAAAAGGGGAGATAAATGCAGAATATTGCCCAAACATGCTGTTTAATCTTGGTGATAACAAGAAAGAAAATGGAGGTGTGAAGTGAGTTCCCATTCAGGGTGGTATCAGTATAAGCAATTTGTCGGTAAAGGGTGTAGAGAAGTTAAGAGGGGTTACATTCTTTAACACTGTCATTCACAAAAAAAAAAAAAACAGCAGGCCTGGCTTCTCTATGGCTTTGACTCTATTCCAGTAACTCTAAACAGCTTATCAGGCAGTACCATTTCTGCTTACTAGAAAGCAGGAGGTTTTCCTGTCCCAAGTATATTTTATCCCCCTTCTTCTTTTAGCTTTTATTGTAGAGAAGTGCAACAGGAACCATATTGTAGAGAAATCCTTTCAAATAAAGACTTGATGAAATTTGAATTCTGAGAGAAGTAATGAAACACCAAATCTTACTAGGAAGAGTATTAGAAGTCCTGTGTTAGCCGGGCTCAGTGGCTCAGCCTGTAATCCCGCGCCTTTGGGAGGCTGAGGTGAGTGGATTGCCTGAGCCCGCAGGTTCGAGACCCACCTGGGCAGCGAGACCTCATCTCTACAATGAATCAAAAAATCAGCTGGGCGTGGTAGCGCATGCCTGTAATTCCGGCTACTCAGAAGGCTGAGGTGGGAGGATCGCCGGAGCCCAGCAGGTCGAGGCTGCGGTGACCGG